ACATATACATACATATATATACTTCAGATTGTTGAGAATGTGTGAAAAATTAATAAATTTGAAATATCCCATAAATTGTTGTAAATAAGGCACAATGTCTCTCTCGGTGTAATTAGCTGGACCTTTTTAATGTGACGCATAATTTGGAAACTGTGTAGATTGAATATTTTGGCAAATTAAAACTGTATAAATGGAAAAACAACCAACCATAAATCGTTGCCAATTTTAAAGTAGAGATCTTTTCTATCAAGTTCCTTAAATTATTTTAAAAACATTCTAATGAAATATACAAATCACAAAGTTTATGAGTTAATGTTTACATAACTAAATTTTGTCGGCAAGGACTTTTTTTTTATCCTTTGAAAACCTGGCTATCACACCAGCCTTGTTTCTGTGTTTTACAGTTAGCCAATAGGCTGTGAGAATCCATTTAGTGCAGCATCGAACTTGTGTTCTTTTTACTTCTGTAATATATAGCTTACACACAAGATTTAAATAGCACAGAAGATGTTATTTCTTGGCTAGAGACCAATTAAGTAACCACTGATGGAAGCAGTTGCTACCTGCCTAAAAGGAAGTCTGTGGTTTCCTTATTTAAATTGCTGAGTTTTAATGTCCATCAAAAGGCTGTTATCGCAATGAATTATTCAACCACTTCAGTCTACCACACTTTAGTACTACATCCATGGATTTCAAGCTGAAAAAAAAAAATGTAGCCAAAAGTCTCTACCCAAGAACTCGAATTGTTTTTGGTTTTTGATAATTTTTGGTACTAGACATTTACAAATAGTTATGTCTGCTGTTTAAAAGTATTTGCTTAATGGGGACGTGTTTATAAATACTGTAGTTAGGAAAGTGCTGATCACCTAGGCACAGCAGGTATCTGCACCTATAGGAGAGGGAGGGCCTGGAAGAGAACCTTTTTTAAGGATGAAAGGTCACTGCGTTTGGAGATGTCGGGTGTCATTTCCTCTGTTTGTCCCTTGGTGGAGTTCTTGAGTCACTTTCTCCCTTTCCCTTGCACTTACTGCTTTATATTTCTCTCCAGGATTGGCTAGCTTGTTTACTGTATTTAACCTTTTTTTTCTCGTAGTCTCGTGAATAATAGAACGTCTATTATAAATGAAAGACTCCCGACCCCGAAACCCTGCCGCTGGCACTTGCTTCTTAACCTCACTACAAACTTTGTTGTCCTTACTTTTTGCCAGTCTTCTTTCTTTAAAGGCTTAAGCCACATAAGGGACCCCAAACACTATCCCCCTCTCCACATCCCCCTCTGTCACCGACATCCTTAACTGAAAAGTACTTGAAATGCAAAGTTTGGAGGACAATGTTTGACAAAGAAGAACCATCCGGATTTTCTTAGACATATATTAGCATAGGGTACCTGGATGTTAAGTAATTTCATTTTTATGTCTGCTTTATTTTATATGTATGCTTATCACGGAGCATTTTCTTTTAAACAACAAAGAGAAGAAATGTGCATCGCCAACATTTCAATATTCTCTAAAACATTTTGCTTCCTCCAAATGATGACGTCCCGTTACTGATCAAGGCAGTCTTTAGAACACTTCTCCTTTTCGGGTTTTGCCTGCCAAAGAAGCTGCGGCGGCGGCAGAAGCAACTGCAACCTCTTTAATTTCTTGAAGCCGGTTACACTTTTTGATCCCATTTCCTCCTGAACCTTGCCTCTCAGGTTGAGAAGATAAAAGCAGCCTCGGGTCTGAGAGACCGGGTGGGGTCTGTGGGTGGGAGCGAATCCGGATATCACATTTCCCTGGTGAGCTGGGCTACTGGGAGGATTAAGTCCCTGGGTTCCATTTAATGAAATTGCTGAGCACTTGTGACACTGGCTCTAAGACTGCGGAAATGGGGCGGGGGGTGGGGGGACTGCTGCTCGCCTTCATTCACCCTGAGCACCGGCTGGAGGCTGGAGCGAGGATGTCAGTGCCCAGACAGGGGGCGGAAGAGGATTGGGAGCAGCGGCCGCTGCAAGGGCGCTAGGAGAGTGTCACCCCCTTTACCCCCCTTTACCCTCTGTCCCGCCCATCCCATTCTCGTCCACAGGAACCACTCTGGGGGGCAAAGGAGCTGCCACTTCTTGGCTGCTCTGGCGGAAAGGTCGGAGCTGGCGACTGGTGGGGGAGGGAGCAGAGCAAGGTTTTCCGGCCCAAGAGCAGCCTGGGCGTGCTGCTCTCCATGCAGTACACGTCGGACCCATTTCCCACGCTGGCTTGGCTCCGCGGCAGAGTCGGTGGGGATAAGCGGGGAGGGCGGGAGGAGGTTACCTCCTTCTCTCAGAGGAAACCACTCCACTGTGAAGGACGCGCTGCACCCCCGTTGCCCTAGCCATCGTGGAAGAAATACATACAAACTCTAGGCAAGAGTAGACCACGCCGTCCCTCCCTCCATCCTTGTCAAGAGCGGCGGGAAAATGCTTGAAGAGGCAGAGGAGGGTTATTCAAGTTTATGGTCTGGCAAGGGAAGAGGGAGTGCATAATGTCTTTCTGCCCACGCGAGTGCCTGAAGTTTGCAAAATTCTAGTAAGGCGACGAGTGCAATGAGTGCAGTGTGCCACACCGCCAAGCATCGGAATGCACGGCGCAAAGCCTCGCAGTGGAGGTGACATCCCCCTTCCCTTTCCAGTCTGGATCAGGAGAAAGCAGGCATTCAGATAAACCTCTATTCTTCCAAATGTAAAGGGGACATCGCGTTACTGCCACTTCGTCGGCCGCTAAGGCGCTGCGGCGCCAGCCCCCTCCTTCAGACTGCGGCGGTGCGCACTGAGCCTGCGCACCAGGCTTTTCTCGCTGATGCTGCAGATACAGAGCTAAGAGCTCTGGTGGCGGCGGCCGGAGAGTTACGGGGAAGGCCGTTCTCTCCGAGGAGGAGGAGGAGCCACCCCTCCCGGAAAGATGCTGCTTTATGGGACAGGGAAATATTCGCCAGCTCCTGGCACTTACAACTCCCGGCTCGGTCCTCTGCGCTTCCACCCCCGCCCCTCCCGGGAGAGCTTGGAAACCACTGCTGCTCCCCCGCCCCCCAACACACTCCTTTTCGCTGCGCTCTTCCAAACAACCGCGCGCTTCCTTCGCTCCTAGACTGTATTGATATTTGACTTATTTAAATCATTCTACCTCCTCACTCTCGTCTCACAGCGAGTAAAATTGATTCTGTGAGCACTGGATCGGGTGTGTGTGTGTGTGTGTGTGTAAATTTGTCTTTAAAGGGGCCCTTAAATTCCCAGCAACATTTTTCGAGATAGTAAGGACTCTATCCAAATAGCACCTACTTCCTTCGTCTTTCTTAACCTTTCGGTAGAGGGTCTTTCCTTCGACATTGTGAAATAAATGAGAAGTGGGTTTCGGTTCGAAAAAAACACCGGCAGCCCTGGGATCTGACTTGGTAGACTGCGGTGGTCATGACTGAGAACTGGGGAAGCCTCACGGCAGGGAACGGCAGGGAGGATCACGAGGCACAAAGTCAAAAAGGAGAGAAAAGACGTTAAGCATACTCGGAACACAAAGTTGCCATTAAAGTTTATTTCCCTTCTATCCAGATAGGTGACGCTACACTTTGCCAGTTACTAAAAGCTGCAGGCTCCGCTCAGAAAATAACATCCAGGCTTCTAGCATGTGTCTTATTCCCCAGGCGCGTGCACACCCGGTCTATCCCCAGCGAGAGCTGGATGACAGGAATTCCAAGAATTTAAACAAAGCCAGGCATTCTCCCGTCCCCAACCCAGACCTCCAAAGTCTGTATTCCAAAAAAGGATCCTCTCTGGCTCTCTCTGGAGTTTGATGATCTCTCTTTACTACTGCAGCCTGTCGTGGTTTTGCAGAACCCAAGCTTGCCTTTCGGGATCTCAGATGTCCTCCTCAGCCTACCAGTAGCAATTCACTAACCCAGATGCTAAATTGCGAAACGAAGACACGTTGCGGGTGGGAGTCGGGGCGAGTGTGGGGGGCATTGTTTGAGGGTAGACGTGGAATGAAGGTGTACTAACACCCTTACTTCAGCTCCTACCCACGCAACCGGGTTTAGTCAGAAGAAATCTAGCAGCCCTGGGGGGGGGGGAGGGGGAGGGATAATTATCCCCACCCCCACCCAAACTGCCTAAGAAGACTAGACTTTGGCTTATAGGAGCTGAGACTGGGCAGTCCTCAGTCGGTCCCACGAACCGGAGCCTGGCTTCCGTGTGCGCCGCGGCTGGCTGGTCCTTCCTCCCGCCTCCCTTCCCTGGGCCCTCCTCCCTGGTTCTCCGTAACTGTGTAGTTTCGGATACCGCCGCCGCAGTAGCTTCGGGGACAAGTCTGAGTCCGGAGCCCGCCGGCTTTCCTCTGCAACCATCACTTTATGCAAACTTGCGGGTTTCCAGCTAGGGGGGTAACGAGAGTAGGAGCATCCCTGTAGCGAGTCAGTGTCTCGGAACCGCCACAGCCGGAGAGGCGGCGGGAGCGCGCGCACCAGACTCTGCTAGACGCGAAAGCGGACGAGACAACTGCGGAATTCACCCGCCGCGCCAGGGCACTTCCGAGACAACAGCCGACTGGCACTTTTTCTCCCTTTGGCAAACTAGATTTTTTTTAAGCTACTTGGCAGCTCTGTTTGACTCCACCTCCCCCTCCACCCCCGCCTCAGTGCCTTTGGCTTTTCTTTGGAAATCCGGACAGAATTGGGCATCTTTGTTAATTGCCGTTAGGAGTGCCCGGTCGTGAGCTTTCACCGGGCCAATGTCGCGGATGCACGGAGCCAGGCTTGCTCACCTTTAAACTGCAAAGGGATCAAGTTCAGCTCCAGTTCCCCGCATTGAGACTGGAAGAAGCTGAGAGACTGTGCAGGAGAGAGAGTGAGCGAGGGGGAAAGGGGAAAGGAGAGGAGGGAGGAGAGAGAAGAGGAGGGAGGAGAGAAAGAGAAGGAGGGAGGGAGGGGGAGGGATCGAGAGAGAGCGGGTAGAGAGAGAGGCTGCAATCTCCTCCCTGAATCGCGCACAGCGCTGCAGATCCCACAGCTCCAACACGCGGGCCGAATGCAGGTGAGGGAAGGCACGGACTCTGCGGCTGAGAATCCAAACTTGGGCACCGCGCGGTGCGCACGGTTCGGCTCTCGCCCCCGCGGGCGAATGGTTGCTGCGGTTTCAGGCGGCGGCTTCGTGACTAATGACCTTGCGCAGAGTTGTTAAGAAAAAAAGAGAAACCCGAGCTCTCCGGGGTGAGAAGCGACCGACTCTGGGCGTCTCTGAAGATGGCTCGGGCTGCTCTTTGGCGCGCCAGGAGTACCCGGTCGCGGACCGAGCTGTGACGCGAGGCATCTTCGCTGCACCTTGCCCGAAGCGACCTGCCGTGGAATTTTTCATTCAAGATACGTTGAGTGGCTTCCCGGCTGCTTAAGAGGAGTCAGAGTTGAGACTGGCTTGTTGCTCGCCCCAGAGCCTGGAGCAGGAAGCGGCTCACGTTTGTCTGGACCTCCCGAGCCTGAACAGAGCCTGGGTCTAGAGTAAGGGACTGGAACGTGAATTGGACTTAACTCGAGTAGCAGTAAGGACTGCTGTCAGGCGGGGAAGGCTGCAGGTTTGCTCCAGTCCTCTACTAGGCTCCGCCGCCGTCTTGCAGAAGCGGTTCCGGCCCCTTCCCAGGGCTTGGGGACTGGACCTCAGGATCTTCCCGCTGCGGGGATGACTTTGTGGGGGCACCGAGCCCGTGGCGCGCAGTGTCCCGTGAACTGTGAGTACTGCGAGTAAACGGTGGTCGGCGAGCGGGCGATTAGCACCCATTGCATGAATTATGAAACAATAACTTTCGGAAGAAACAGGAGGAGAAAAAAAAAAGCATCTATAACTGCCCCCCTCCCATCGGCCGACTCTACGCGCTACTCTGGCCCCCTCCCTCCCCTCCCTCTCGTTTCTTCCTTTCCCGGAGAGGAGGACCGAGGGGAGGGCAGGCGGCCAGCCCCGGAGGAGGGGGGTGCCGAGGGGGGTTGTGGTTAGAAGGAGCAGTAGCAGCAGCAGCAAGAGAAGATGCTGAGGATGCGAACCACGGGATGGGCGCGCGGCTGGTGCTTGAGCTGTTGTCTCCTTCTGCCGCTCTGCTTCAGCCTGGCCTCGGCCAAGCAGCTGCTCCGGTACCGGCTGGCTGAGGAGGGCCCCGCCGACGTGCGGATCGGCAATGTGGCCTCGGACCTGGGCATCGTGACCGGCTCCGGCGAGGTGACTTTCAGCCTTGAGTCTGGCTCTGAGTATCTGAAGATTGACAACCTCACCGGCGAGCTGAGCACCAGCGAGCGGCGCATCGACCGAGAGAAGCTGCCCCAATGTCAGATGATCTTCGACGAGAACGAATGTTTCCTGGACTTCGAGGTGTCGGTGATAGGGCCCTCGCAGAGCTGGGTGGACCTGTTTGAGGGTCGGGTCATCGTGTTGGACATCAACGATAACACGCCCACCTTCCCGTCGCCGGTGCTCACGCTCACGGTGGAGGAGAACCGGCCTGTAGGCACGCTCTATCTGCTGCCCACGGCCACTGATCGTGACTTTGGTCGCAATGGCATCGAGCGCTACGAGCTGCTCCAGGAGCCCGGGGGTGGCGGCAGCAGCGGCGAGGGAAGGCGCTTGGGGCCGGCGGACAGCGCCCCCTACCCAGGGGGCGGCGGGAACAGCGCGAGCGGCGGCGGCTCCGGAGGCTCTAAGCGGCGGCTGGACGCGCCTGAGGGTGGCGGTGGGACTAGTCCCAGTGGCCGAAGCAGTGTGTTCGAGCTGCAGGTGGCAGACACCCCTGACGGCGAGAAGCAACCGCAGCTGATAGTGAAGGGGGCGCTGGACCGGGAGCAGAGAGATTCCTATGAGCTGACCCTCCGAGTGCGCGATGGGGGCGACCCACCTCGATCCTCGCAGGCCATCTTGCGGGTGCTCATCACCGACGTGAATGACAACAGCCCCCGCTTCGAAAAGAGCGTGTATGAGGCTGACCTGGCTGAGAACAGCGCTCCAGGCACCCCCATCCTACAGTTGCGCGCCACCGATTTGGACGTAGGGGTCAATGGACAGATCGAATATGTATTTGGGGCTGCCACAGAGTCGGTGAGACGGCTACTGCGCCTGGATGAAACGTCGGGCTGGCTCAGTGTCTTACACCGTATCGACCGCGAGGAAGTGAATCAATTGAGATTCACAGTAATGGCCCGTGACCGCGGGCAGCCCCCCAAGACCGATAAGGCCACCGTGGTTCTCAACATCAAAGACGAGAACGATAACGTTCCCTCCATCGAAATCCGCAAGATAGGGCGCATCCCACTTAAGGACGGGGTGGCCAACGTGGCCGAAGACGTCCTAGTGGACACCCCCATCGCCCTGGTACAGGTGTCCGACCGAGACCAAGGCGAGAACGGAGTAGTCACCTGTACCGTAGTGGGAGATGTGCCTTTCCAACTTAAGCCAGCCAGCGACACAGAGGGCGATCAGAACAAGAAAAAGTACTTTCTCCATACATCGGCCCCACTGGACTATGAGACCACCCGAGAGTTCAACGTGGTCATAGTAGCTGTGGACTCTGGCAGCCCCAGCCTCTCCAGCAACAATTCCTTGGTGGTCAAGGTGGGAGACACCAACGACAACCCTCCTGTCTTTGGCCAGTCTGTGGTTGAGGTTTACTTTCCAGAGAACAACATTCCTGGTGAGAGGGTAGCCACGGTGCTGGCGACAGACGCTGACAGCGGGAAGAATGCAGAGATCGCCTACTCGCTGGACTCTTCGGTGATGGGGACTTTTGCCATCGATCCCGATTCTGGGGACATCCTGGTCAATACAGTACTGGACCGGGAGCAGACTGACAGGTATGAGTTTAAAGTTAATGCCAAAGACAAAGGCATTCCTGTGCTGCAAGGCAGCACCACGGTGATTGTACAGGTGGCTGATAAAAATGACAATGACCCTAAGTTTATGCAGGATGTCTTTACCTTTTATGTGAAGGAAAACTTGCAACCCAACAGCCCTGTGGGTATGGTCACCGTGATGGATGCTGACAAGGGACGGAATGCAGAGATGAGCCTGTACATAGAGGAGAACAGTAACATTTTTTCTATTGAAAATGACACAGGGACCATTTACTCCACAATGTCTTTTGACAGGGAACATCAGACTACATACACTTTCAGAGTGAAGGCTGTGGATGGGGGAGATCCTCCCAGGTCGGCCACAGCCACCGTCTCTCTCTTTGTGATGGATGAAAATGACAACGCTCCCACAGTTACCCTTCCCAGAAACATTTCCTACACGTTGCTGCCACCTTCAAGTAATGTCAGGACAGTAGTAGCTACAGTGTTGGCAACAGACAGTGATGATGGCATCAATGCAGACTTGAACTACAGCATTGTGGGAGGGAATCCTTTCAAGCTGTTTGAGATTGATTCCACCAGTGGTGTGGTTTCCTTAGTGGGAAAACTCACCCAGAAACATTATGGCTTGCACAGGCTGGTTGTGCAAGTGAATGACAGCGGCCAGCCCTCCCAGTCCACTACGACTTTGGTGCATGTATTTGTCAATGAAAGTGTTTCCAATTCAACTGTGATTGACTCTCAAATAGTCCGAAGTTTGCATACCCCACTCACCCAGGATATAGCTGGTGACCCAAGCTATGAAATCAGCAAACAGAGACTCAGTATTGTCATTGGGGTGGTGGCTGGCATTATGACAGTGATTCTAATCATTTTAATTGTCATGATGGCAAGATACTGCAGGTCCAAAAATAAAAATGGCTATGAAGCTGGCAAAAAAGACCATGAAGACTTTTTTACACCCCAGCAGCATGACAAATCTAAAAAGCCTAAAAAGGACAAGAAAAACAAAAAATCTAAACAGCCACTCTACAGCAGTATCGTCACTGTCGAAGCTTCTAAACCAAATGGGCAGAGGTATGATAGTGTCAATGAGAAGCTGTCAGACAGCCCAAGCATGGGCCGATACCGATCTGTTAATGGTGGGCCTGGCAGTCCCGACCTGGCAAGGCATTACAAATCCAGTTCCCCATTGCCTACTGTCCAGCTTCATCCCCAGTCACCAACTGCAGGGAAAAAACACCAAGCTGTACAAGATCTACCACCAGCCAACACATTTGTGGGAGCAGGAGACAACATTTCAATTGGATCAGATCACTGCTCTGAGTACAGCTGTCAAACCAGTAACAAGTACAGCAAACAGGTAAGATATATTCCAAATGTGTTTACATATCCCAGAGAGGGCTGATCACTCAGAGACAGAACAGCTGCTATGAGGCTGGGTCTTTCCTTTATAAGGGTCCTTCTAGTTTGAAAACTAGGAGATTAATGTGCATTTATATGCCATTGATGTACCAGAGGCCTTATAGGATAGAAATGTGTTCTTGTTTCATTGTAAACTAGAACATAGGTTTACATGGTGTCTAAGGGAAAGGTAGTGTTTTGTGTTTCTCCTAGCACTTGGCAGCCTTAATTCATGTAAATTTTATGTTTACAGAGTAAATATGTACATAGTATTGGGAGAGTTCTAAGTGAAAAATTTCTAGAGTTATAACTGGTACCCATTCTAATTGGACACTGAAAAGTTTAACTATGTCATGAGTCATGCCGAATTTTACAAGTCAGCAGACACTGATTCATAGAAATGCAGAGCCAAGACAAAAATCTTGAAATCTTGCCATAGTCATTTGATTGGATGAAAATAGTGGCTTGAAAGTACTTAATGATAAGCAAGTGTCATGCATAATTGCATTTTTAATACTTTGTATCTATAACAACATTTATTTATAATGATTAGGCTCCTATGTGGATATGCAATCAGCACCTGAATTCTTCATACTCGATATTCCAAATCTTGTAAACAAAATTAAGTTGTACTTAGTAGAATATATTTGTGGATGTTTTGGGGAATTACTAGAAAAAAGAAAAATTATGTGCATTACTTTTGTGTGTTATCTGACATAGCTGTTTGCTGGTATAATGTGGAAAACAGCTATATATATGCTTGAGGGGAAATTCTGAGTATATCTGATTGATTTTTATAGTTTGCTTGTGTGGTATGTATTATGCAGAAGTTTACTTTTTATGCCCACCAAGTTTGTCACACAGCAAATAAATCCTTTTGGAAAGAGCTGAGATGCTGGCCAGAACACTCCAAAAAATGCATCATGTGTTCTACTACAAAAACTGACCCTAGGAATTATATTTATGACTTGTTAAATGTTGTAATATGGTGTTTTTCTGCCAGATATGTTTTGTAGAATGTGTCATCTGAGGAGAATTGAGGTGAAGGGGAAAGTTGTTATATAGTCTCATTCAATACGTTATGGAGAATAAATACTAATATTTGATAGTTTGCATCATTATTAAATATTAAAATATTTTCTACATGTAGCATTTTATTTTATAGTCTTAATTTTGGATAAGAAGAAGCAGAAGTTATAAACTTTTAAAAACATTCTATTAAAAGCAGTAAAAAGAAATATAGGTTTGAACTACCGTGTATGAAACAGCTTTTGAGAATAGATCTTTGGATGCATGTAAGCTTGAATTATTTATTTATTTGAAACCACTATTTGATAATGTGGCGAGTTTATTTCTGTTGTGTTTTTGCTTTACCTGGAATTGAAAGCAATGTGTTTTGGCCTGGTGTTTAATGTCTTCATCAGTTTTGTAAATAAGAAAGACTCTAATGAAACATACATCCTTTTTTATATCATTCACATACAGCATTATATTTCATATATTTATATACACCTGAGGTCTTGGAATTTCCTTAGACAATGATAACATGAGTGCAACATAAAACACAGATGCTTTATACAGACTATATACATCCCATCACCACACTAATAGTGATTTTGCCCTATGACAGTGACATTTCCATTCTACGTTTCTTAATTTTCTGCTTTTAAATGGGTACATAAAATGGCAAATTTACAAACATTGTATGCAAACATGAGGATTGCGTTTTCACTAAAGCTGCATTTTACTCATTTGGTGGGGCAGCGCTATATTCTACAATTTTAAAAACACTTAATGTCAAGACAACTGGCATGACATTTGAAAAGCAAAGAGACAGGCTCATAAATTAACTAACGCATGGCTTGTCTTTCAATTGAGCAAAGTACATTTACAAAAAAAAAGAAAGAAAGAAAGAAAGAAAAAAAGAAAGCCATGGGGTGAGTAGAAGGAATCACTCAGCTCATCAAAGGTGACTTTGGAAAACTTGCATGCCATTAGGTATTCCAAAGATGTATAAAGTTTTAACCACAAGCAAATAGCTGACCCACGATAAAATAAAGGCAAATGAAACACATTCCCCTTAATGTAATTAATGACAGTAATTGATAGCTTCATCTGCTCAATATTGTTCTCAGGGGACATGAGATCCATTTCAAAGTTACATTCTGCACCATCTGACAGGAATACAGTTCACTTTGTCTAGATTTTTGTTTGGATCATACATAGCTACTTTTCTATTTCTGCTCAAAAGATTTAGTGTTCATAGGACGAAGCTGTGTTTGCTTTCATTAAACTTTGTTTTTTAGCACACAGGATTTTGCTGTTTCCCTCTTTGACAGATGAATTTATCTAAAAGTTGAGACTTCTATTCTTTCAATTTATTGGACTTGAGACTTGTACTGTTAAAATTTCTTAGGAATCCATTTAAAATGTGAAATATCATTTGCTAGAATGCTTTCATTTTATTTATAATTTGTCTGAACTATCTTATGATACTCCTTTATATTGATAAAACGGAAGTGACATTTCTTTCTATCTTTTCTGCATGAGAGTTGTGTTCCTCTTATATGACATTAGGGGCTACATTGTAGTAAGCCAACATCTCCCCAGAAATGAAAGTTTATAAAAAGAACTTAGGCTCTTTTTCTCTTTTCCTTCCTTTTTGGGTTGGTTTCACAGGCTCTAGGGATACTCCAAGCATCTATCAATACTTAGACAAACTCTAGATGTGTGTTAGATAGTGGATACAATTATTTTTCAAATTCACACATTGGAAAACTGAGGGGTAGAACCAAGCTTTTCATAGTTCAAACTTTCGCATTGCAAACAAAAGCCATTGCCATTCAATACCTGATGTTTACTTGAGCACTGTGAAGCTTATCCACTGCTCTTCTGAGGTTGTCTCTCCTGCATTTAGTTCATTAGCTGCTTGGCAAACTTGGTGACTTGCAATCTTGTGATGTAAAGGCACAACTGTTCATCTGATTTATTAAAGAGAGAGAGAGAGAGAGAGAGAGAGAGAGAGAGAGAGAGAGAGAGAGA